CACCTGTGAGGCCAGGCAACGTGTAAAGGTCTTTGCTGATAGTCCCGTCCACTCAGGATATTAGAGAGGTTAAAAGTCAGATGTTGCTTATCTTCTTCTTGACAAGGATTTGTACTTTCTGATGGTTCAGACTTGTTCAGTCCTGCTGGTGCTGTTAATGGGGAAGGCAGCCCCTCGTGCTGTGAGGTACAAAGTCCAGGCTGGGCTTCACAAAGTCCAGACTCGCGATGCGCGTTGCTGTTTTTCATTAAACCTCCCAAAGCTCTGCTCTTCTGCTGGCCGGGCAGACCCTCCCATCGATAAGCATCTCCATTTCTTTTAACACCAATTACCTTTTCCAAATGGGCAAGCTTATGTTCTGGCATGAACCTGTTAGGAAAAAGAAGAAGAAAAAAAAAACAAACCTATATCGTGTTTATGCTGGATTTCAGTTTCACCTGGTAATTGTTAATTAATTAATAGCAAATGAGAAGACAAAAGATGGTTGATATTTTACACCCATCCAAGCAACGACTCCATCAGCATTCAGTAAATGACACACTTTACGTATCATTTTAGTGAATACGGTACCTGTGAAATAAAATAACCTATGGTTCACCGGCTGAGAAGCCAAAGGTCTCCACTGCACCTCATCGCCGCTAACAGCACATGCATCAACAGGGAGAACAAAACTATTTGCCTGCTAAAACAAAATGAAGCAAACGTCTCTGGGAAGTAAAAAGGCAATTCTGCCAGAAAAGTCTTGGCATTTTTTGCCAGGACTACGGCTAAGATTGGCAGCAAATCTAACGTGACGCTTGTCTATGTCTAGGCTGAGACCAGCAAGCTGCTTCATCACAGGTCAACGAAAGCTAATGCAGAAAGATTGTTTGTTGCCTAATAACGTGGGCCAAACATGTACCACGACATGGAAGTGGGTCTTCTTACCCAACTAGCCTTGCCTGATTTCTAGAATGACCGACTGAAAAACTTAATGACAAATTAGAAAAACAAAAGGCCCACCTAGGAGAAAAGGATTGAGTTGCACATCCATTCACAGGGTAAAAGCAACCACCCCCCTGTATTTTCACAGGTGTGAGTAATGAACACTAAGATGGGGAAACTGAGGCAGAGCTGTTTATGACCTTCCCAAGGTACCACAGTCAATATTAGGTGCCACTGTCTCTTCCATCTGACGTTCAGACAAGGCTTTCGTCCACGCTGCAGAAAACCCTTCCCAACAGCAGGATGCATTTGCACGGTTATATTGAGGCCACTGAACTGATTTTTGTAATATATGGAATGTAACACTGTATGCAAGATCTAGTTTTACTATTTGATTTAAAGTAGTGATGAATTACTGTCCTTGCCCAGGAAACACTCGAGTGAAGCTCCTTCATTCAAATATGAGTCTTCTAAGTTAACACGAAGAGGACTACATGCATGGCCACCATGGGCTCCTCAGTCTAAACGCCTGCCTGTACCTCAAGCTAATTTACCCAAATATTCTTTACTTGCATGACTTTCAGTGTGATTATGGTTCTCCCAGATAAGTAGAGACATTTAAATTTTCCGTTTCCTTTTAATTTCCAAATGTTTACACACTATAGCCTGTTTATTGAACTGTTTACTAAAGCCAACGCTTGCTCCACTTTATCAACCTCCTCCACAGTTCTTCAGAGTTTTACTCCATCACAGCTTGTTTCTGGGCTGTGAACAAACCGCTCCCTTCCCTCTTTTTCAGAACAAATATTCCTATATGCCGGAACCATCCACTTCACCCTGCAACGGAGCACCTTAAATGCAAAAAGACCCTTCTTCAAAATTACGACCAAAACACAAACACGCACACACTGTGTGAGCTTAACTGCAGTTGTGCTCTTGACTAATTGCTTTGAGGATTTTCCTTCAAACCCCTAAATCCCCTTTCCTAAGTCAGTACACTGCATAACTACTCCATGTAATGCGTGTTCTTTGATTTGGCTTGCCGTCCCTTGGCATATTATTTTCCTGTTTATCTACATTTTCAAGCCATTGACCAAATCACCTACGAGATCTACCTTTCTTCCACTGCTCGCCATCGCTCGTTGGAGCTGCTCTGTAGATACACCCAGAAAAAGTTCAATCACATTCAACAGCCTCATGCAAATCCATTACCTATGTTATAAACAAGACAGGTTCCCAAATGAGCCTGAGTTAAACCATTCCCATGTCAGCGACTTAGCCACCCTCAGATTCTCAGAGCATAAAAGTATAAATTCAGTGTGGCTGAATTCCACACATATATGTTCTTAACAGTTAAGTCGGCGTTTCGACAGTCTAAGCTGAATTATAGACCTAAAACTGGCTGGTGGCGGCTCCTCTGAAGTAAGGACACATACCCGTGAGGATATACTTTTATATATTTACGCATGGGAAAAGCTGAAGGAGAAATAAGTTAAGGGATTTGCTCTAAACCACCAAGTCCATGACTGAATTGAGAGGACTGATTTACCAAATCAAATTTAACTAACAGATTTTGAAAAATCATTGCCATTAAGAAGAATTGCTTGATGTGTGAGAGGTCGGACTACCCAGGCAGACTGTATCCCCCTGCCTGTCTTTAATTACCCGGCCAATCGTCCACTCAGTGCACCATTTCTATTTCTGAAGAGGTTTCCTTCTTAGTTTTCAGCCCTTATAAATCTGACCCGTCATTGCAGAATTTCTAATAATATTAGATAAAACTTCACCGATCTCTCTCTGGAATAAACTATTTAATATTCTTTATTTAAGACATGTGTGTGCAATCAATTCCATGGTATTTACTTGTATTACACACACACTATTCATCATCTTGACAATTTTTAAAAGTTTGAGAACACCATTTCACTTAACAGTTTAAAAAAAAAAAGATTTATTTGATGGTTAACTTTGGAACAAGTTATCTGCATTAACTTCTATTGTTTTGGCATAAAGTAGTTCTGTATATTTTACTAACAACAGTGGAGATATGATAAAGGATGTAGGCAGAGAGCCATAAACAGCTCTCACTGCAACCCCAGGGTTCGGGTAAAAGCATTAATTTTTAGGACTTTGATTGGAAGACGTCTCTGTGTTCAGCCACTTGGATTCTGCTAAATACAACCACGTATAAAACCTTGTACCTGAATATAACAATTTTAACTGCGGAAAGACCATTGTAAATCATATGTAGTATAAACTTGTCCACACGATTGCAATGATATAATGGATATTGTAGTCCCGGCCACTAGCTAATGTTCTTTATGACACTTAAATAAACAGCCTGAAAATAAACTAATAACAACACGAAAACTTCTAAACCTGCTCATGCGCATTTCCCAATAGCATGCCGGAGAAAGACAATGATCTTAGTCATCTATAAACATCAAGAGCTTGCAGGACTTCTACATCACCATCCAGGAGTCTATAACCTGGAGATAAAACAGGTGCTCCAGTGTTTTATTTGGAGCCAGTATCTACTCCCACAAAGATCATCAGAGTTTTTTAAATCCTTGTCTAAATTTCAGAAGACACAACCTCAGAGAGGCTGGTTATGGAATAGCAGAGCTGGGGCAGGAGCAGACATAGGCTTAAAAGACTAGATCTAAGGAAGAAATGTTTTACGCTGAGGGTGGTGAAGCACTGGCCCAGGTTGCCCAGAGAGGTGGTGGATGCCCCATCCCTGGAAACATTCCAGGTCAGGCTGGACGGGGCTCTGAGCAACCTGATCTAGTTGAAGATGTCCCTGCCCACGGCAGGGGTGTTGGACCAGATGACCTTTAGAGGTCCCTTCCGACCCAAACTACTCTATGATTCTAAAAAACAAGCTAGAGAGCTACCACAGCAGATAGGTAGGGTTTAGTTATCGAGAAGGATGAACCATTTTTCTCAACCTTGGTTACAACACACAGTAGTCACATAAGAAAAATGCCACAGCATTTTATTTTTAATATGGGAGAAGGATTGTATTGTTATTATTAACTTGCGGTAGTGACATCTTGTACACGTGAAACTTTCCAGAAAAAATTATCACCAAAGCATACAAATATTAACACTTTCAACAGATTCCACAAGGCACTGTCTCTTAAATTTAAAAAAACATGGAAAATGTTTGACTTTTATGCATAACTCATATATACTTAAACACTGAAAGTTCAGAACAAACAGTAAAGACTTAGATATCTAATTTTAGCATCATGACTTGTTTTCAAAACTTTTCAAAACTATTTTTCTTTTATTTATTCAGATTTTTGAGGATCTCTGCAACATTTAACAGTCAATTTTAAAACTTTATGAAGACTTTAAAAAGAGTAAGCCTTGAAAACTTTCACTTTTTGCATATCGGGTATAGATGTTTAGTTAAAAAGATGGGTTAAAAATTAAACTAAGTTCATACGTAATAAAAAGTCCATACACTAAAAGCCAGAGTTTCAATCTAAACATTTGCCATTCTGAATAACAGATTTTTTTAAACTCCCCAATCTATGTATTTTATATTTTCTTTTCATTTATGCCATGAAACCCCACTCTGAGGAAACCCACGTACTTTTACTTGAAGCAGACGTGTGCATTTTGCCCAGCTCTTTCGTAACATGTTGCCATGTCACATCGCATGTGTTTCTTCACAGCACTTCATCTGCCCTAATAACAAATTACTTATGGGAACTGGTTTCTTTTTGTGGCACCAAGAGTCACTTCGTGCACCATTTTATTAAAAAAAAAAACAACAAAAAAAAGGATGGAAGGGCCATGCTGTCGCTGCTTGATGAATGGAAACCACATTAGAAAGACTAACTGGAGTGCTGGTTTAGGTTAGATCAAATTATATGGGCAAGCTCTGTGTGTTGTATACTGGTTTGAACAGTAGTTCTCGATGAGCAAGGATAATTTGTAAGAATGGATATAAGGTAAAAAAAGAAAAAAAAATTTGAATTCATAAAAACTGGCCCTTCTGCAACTGTAGTTACATTTGGAAGCAAAGTTAAAGATAGTTCTGAAAGTGCAATGGATTTTTTTATTATTATATTGCCATTAAAAAGTTTAAAAATAATGAAAGGAGATAGTCATGATCATATATATTAGAAACCTTCCGCAGGCCTTCGAGCTGGACCATACACATTTTAGAGCTGCCGCGTTTCCTTCATCATTGATGCACCACCACGGCATAACTTACAATTTAACAAACCCATTGTCTGAGAATTTCCTTTGTCTTTCTTTAAACACGAACACAAACGTCTCTTTGCTAACTGTAATATTTTTAGTAGAATTTATGTGACCTAAAACACTACAGAGTTCGTGGAGAGCTTCTGCGATCCTACTACCTGGAGTCCATTTGGCTTATAATAGTTGCGATGGACAGTCATTTTTGTCATTTGCAATAACTGGGA